TAACCATGCTTTAAAACTCGATCCAGCTCTCAAACTATATGATCCTCGTCATCAGTCAGCTAATATTGATAGTTGTCCTCCTACGGACCTTTGCCTTCCCTCCATTTCCACAATAAGAAGAAAAGGAAGAATTTTTCCTAAATATGAACTACAAGGAAAATCAATCCTTAGAAAGACAAATATTGGATTGTTTTTGTGTAACATATCCCTTTTTTCTTTGTCTATTGACTGAGTTCCCCTTTTTAGTTTGCCTTTTCCAATATGTGAGATGTGGGGATGAAGCTCCGAACCAGGAGCTAGCCTTCAAAGGCGAGCGAATCTTCACTCTTTTTTCGAAGAGCTGTCTATATACCTTCTCTTTTCAACAAAAAAAGAATCAAGTCCCACATAATTCATAGTTAATCAGTTAAATAGATCGCGTTTAAAAACCAAATAGACTATTTAAGGGGCATGCAACTTGGATGATGAAAGAGGGCTAGAGCGTGGGTCAGGGTCAGATACGAAGGGGCAGAGAGAATGCTTCCTGATCACTCTCTCAGAGAGAGAGAGCGCGCTATTGTATGAGGAAGCTATGTACACATTTTCGAACTGAAAGCGAGATCTTGCAACCACACCCAAAGAAGCACACAAACAAGCTTTTTTCCTTTCTCATTGAAGTATGCAGCGAGGAATCGACGGGATGAGACCCAATTCAATTATGTGATTAAATCAAATTCTTCCCTTTCGTTAGTTTACCCACAGTAACTGACTGTCACGTCCAATGAGAGCGTGAGAATCCCACTATTTTTTCTTCTCGTGGGGGGCATTCTACTAGCATAGAAGACTCCTATAAGTGGTAGTACCTAGTTGGGGTTTTGTGGTATAATTCTTTGCCGAAAGAGGTCTTCGCCAACCCAATGACTTTCCGATGTGATTGACAAGCAGCGGGGCATGGAACAAAGTTTAATTCATCGTGATAGGAGTTCACCAAGTCTAAGAAAGGGCCGGTCATCTAACGAGAAGGGATAAATCACATCGGATGATGGCGATGGCGTAACGCATAGAGAAGTAACGATATGATAGATCCGCAGGAAATCGCAAAGTTCATGAATTCTCTATCTTTTCTTAGCTGAGAGAGAGGGAGCGCACTCTTGACATGTAGGCATATCTCATTGAATCAGTCTTTTTCGGCATATCGTGTATAAGGGGAATCTAACCCCCTCAGCAGTTGGCGGGCAGATGTATAATGTACTACTTCGATATAATAACTTTTTCGGAGTAGGTTTTGGCTTGGGAAAAACTCGTGGATGAGTGAGAATATACGAATATTTTTTTAGAAGGTTTCACCTTGCAGTCTTTTTTGTTAAAATGAATGCATATGGGTATCTACTTTCTTTGAGAATTTGGATTGTACAACCAAGAATGTGGATGAATTTTGGGCCATCTACTGTGGCCTTATGTTGGAATAGGATTTGGGTTACAAGCAGGCCATTCTTGAAATAGATTTTGAATATTGTTTGCATGTTGTGATTCATTTGATTTCCTCTAAGCACCCTCAAGCACAATTGATCCAAGCTTGGATAAATCTTGTTCAAAGGGATTGGCAGTGCTTTTGTAAGCATACTCAAAGAGAAGAGATAAGGTAAGATCGTGGTCGACTGATTGGCATTTGAAGCTCTGAAGCGGCCGTCGGGTTATCAATAGCATTTGACCTGTCTACCTGGACATAAGATACCCAAACAAGAAGAAAGAAAAAGAAAATATTATTGTAAATGGCACGAGAAATGAACTCACTCTACAAATGATTGTGTAAATTTAAGGAATCTGATTCAAGATTACTTGAACAAATGTTTATTTCCGATAGCAGACCGACCAATGCAAATCGATACATCACCGTTTGCGAGAGAAGTAGAGATCAATATGATGTCTGCTAACTTAAGGAAGTTGTCTGACCCACAGAAAGAGTTGGACGCGGCTGAGCACATCCCATCCCATAAGAGTCAAGCCCAGAAAGCGTGGCAAGTCATTTGCCAAGGCCATTACCAACAATAGGATTATGTTCAAGATGTCAACTTCAAATCTCAATGAATCAAGGATAAAAGCATCTACCCTTTCAAAAAAGGATGGAATGGCTACCTATGGTAAGAGAGCCTTTAGCACAAGAGCGAAGGATGACGACTGATTCAATTGCCCTCTCAACTTAATTAATTAAATATAGTTGCATGAAGGAGCATAAGTGATAATCTGATCTAAGGAAAGAGGGGGAACGTGAAAATAAGGCTATTACGAGGTCTCAAGAGTCTGTAGACCTATTAGCCTTGAAGTACGCATATTTGGGAATGGGCAAAAAGGACGGTTATAAGGCATCTAGAGGACCTATTTTCGGCTGGTCATAACCAAAACTCTTGGGTTAAGGGGACGAGACTAGTTCATTGACCCAGACCATGGCCTGACATCGTTGGGAGGGGGCTTGATACAATGGGAAGAATCTTCTTAAAAACATACTACGGCTTAGCATGCTAGGAGTGAGAGTCAAATCATTTCATAAAGATTAGAGGGAATAATTATTTTCACTATTTGCCAAAGTTATAGATATGAGAAGGGATTAGCGCAAGGGAAACAAGCTAGCCAAGATTGGTAAGTCTAGAACAGAATCACAGAAGGTGTGGTTTGCTAAATTTAGTCAAGTTCTTTCTGTATATGGGCTGAAGAAAACTAAGGTTGATCATTTAGTATTTGTTTTTCATATCCAAAGTGGATCTCTAATCCTTGTTGTCTGTGTTGATGATATTGTGATTACAGGTAGTGAGAGGACAGGAATTGTTGACTTGAAATNATCTCCTCCAAAACGCATGGGAATGGCAATTCTATTATGTGAGAGGACAGGAATTGTTGACTTGAAATAGTATTTTAGTAGACACTTTTTTACTTAAAATCTTGAAAAGCTTGGATACTTGTTGGGTATTGGATATTTGTTCGTCTTCTTGAAGAATTACGGATTTCTAAACCTAGTAAGGGAAAGCGATTCTACTCCAATTGCATTCATCAGTTGGATGAGAGTGAGAATAGAAAGGAAGCCGGGAGGAAGAATGAAGTATGGCATTACCTCTAAAGTATAACCCTGCTCCTGCGCCCCTCAATCCCACATCTACTACTTAGTCAAGCCCCTAACTACTTATATATCTTAGAACAACCTTGCTCTCTGATCGACATTTTATAGTCTTCATATCTATGGAAAGAGGAAGCTCGGAGAGGATTCTAAACAATTCTATCGCGCCGAACAACAAAAGGAGAAAGAAAGAATACCTTTTGTAGCTAGCCTAGCGTGCTATAAACCTACAGGGAATAAGAGCCAGATCGAAGACATTTCTTTCATTCTTTTATACCTCTCTCTTCTTAGTTGCTTCTCTTTCTAGGGATCTAATGATCATAGACCACCTTCTTGTGACTATGTTGAAGAATTATTTCCCCCTTTTGACTTCTCGAGTGAAAGGGTCCAAGCCATAGGAAAATATCCAATTTTTATCGCAACATATCTAATTTATCCTGAAGCAGCATTTCTCAAAGTAGCATTCCTCAAAGTAGAGGATGAAACCCTTACTTGTTTATCCCGATGAGGGTTTATGAATCACTCAAACGAGCCTTTCTAGCTGCATCTGAATCCCTATCCATATATTTATGCGTAGAGGCATCCAAATTCGAATCTATAGAATTTATAGGGGAATCCCCATCCATACCCGAATTGGCTAAATCTAGTATAGTGGGTCTTGTTTAGATGCAGGAAAAAATCCTTTTAAAAGGCATCTCGGCAAAAGAGGACTGAAAACCATAAGGCGAGCGCCAAAACGCTAGCACAAACTGCTCCTACAAATATTCCTGATAAGGGGGTGTGGAGACAACCAGGCCACCACTTTTACCAGAGATGGGTCCAAATGACCCAAGAGCCCGCCACTAGAACCTAACCCTTTAGAGAGTACGGTCCAAGGGGCTACCACATGAAGTAAGATTCACCTGTAACCTTAAGGAATAAAGAAATTTACCCGAAATTCCTAGAAAGGATTTTGCCTACTATTCATTCCTAAATCCCTTTCAACCTTAAATAGATAACTCGATGAGACGTCAACAACGGGAATACCAAAAGCAAGACCTGGACCTGATTCACGCAGTCAAGCAGCAAAGACATCTTTCTCTTCAGGAGCTTTCGTAACGGCAATAAAGAATGGGTCTTTCCCTCGTGAAAGGTTATTGGGATTGATCCCTTCAACCCTCCTTGGTGTGGAAGGTCGCAAGAGAAAAGAAAACTATTCTTCTTAGCAGCTTTTTCAACCTACCCGAGGTAAGAAAGTAAATCAATCAATAGCCTTTTTACCTACTATGCCTTTCACTAGATGAGTAAAAATTAGTTACCTTTAGCCCAGTCTTCCTTATTAATTATTGATAAGGCACAGGGGAAGCATCATCCTTATAAGATTGTTGCTAAACAAAAGAAATTCTTTTTCACATTCAACCATGAGAGGGCAACTTGAGCAGTCAAAGCTACGCCCTCTTCCACTGCAGACTATGAACAGTTGATAGGTAAAGATTTCTAATTAACTAAGCCAGTTCGATAAGTTAAGGTCCATGCTTGAAACGAAAAAAAAAGAGGAAAGGAAGGGGTCGCCTAAAGCTATGGAGATAAGGTGGAAGATTAAAAAAACTATATTTATAATAATAAAGAGAATCTATTAAAATTCATATTCAAAAATGGGATTATCAACTATACTTGACTGGAAAAACCATCCAATCTACTCTGTTGGTCTCCCCCTTGTAACTTGATAAATCATAAGAGAAAAAGAAGTCATTGCGTAGAAAGTCATGCTTACTATCTCTTCCATCTAAGTTATGTAAGAGGAAAATAGCAAAAAGCTTACTTTTAGGTAGTGGCCTAAGTGCCAAGAAATGAACATCATGCTACTCATACTATATGCTTAACACATGCAAGTCGAACCTTGGTTTTTGGAGTTCAAAAGAGAAGGGGAAGAAGCGGGGTAGAGGTATTGATCAACTCATCAGGATCATGACCTGAAGATTGCAGGTTCAAATCTTGTCCCTGCCTAATCAGTGGAACATTGTTCACCAGGATAGAAGGTCGGTCTCAATCTGTCTACAAAATGGGGCTATTGTTCAATCTTGGTTGGTTCCACCTCTTTGTCGGATGATGACACCAGTAACTGTGGAGCACAAATGACCATTTCTGTTACTATTGAATTCCAACTTAGAGCTCCTTTCCTTACAGTCGAGTGGCTTTCACTCCTTCTACTCTAAACTACTGTGTGCCTATTTGGAGCTTTTCACAGTCAAAGTCAAAGGGTTTTTGGTGGCAAGATCGGCATGCCTTCTAGTTGTAGTTGACTTTAAGCGCACCTAAACTACCAATAGTCGTCTATTTATGGGCTTGCACTCAATAGTAAATCAATTTATTTTCTTGCTTTCTATTGCTCGCTTCAACTATTTGTTTATATAGTGTGTGAAGTCTAATTAATGAAAAGTGCCTATGAGTTAGTTCCAAGAAAGCGGCCGTTCACATCAGGAATAGAGGCCATTAAGGATGTACTTGCTTTTCCCTTTTTTCATCGAGATTGGGTTGGTGTTCAGTCTACCGCTTGTCTAGCCTATGCTTAGCAAGCCTACATAGGGTACAAGATTGAAAAAATGCGCTGGATGGATGCTCCGGCATTGAGAAGGAAGGATGCTTGAAGAGGCGAAAGGCCATGGGAAGATACCGTCTATGATCCATGGATCTCCGGTCGGGAAACCGTATCCAAGCTCCGTGGCTAGTCTATGCTCTTTATACTTTTCAAACTTAGCGAACTGAAATATCTTAGTAGCTAAAGGAAGGGAAATCAACCGAGACCCTGTTAGTAGCGGCGAGCGAGAGCGGATTACGGTTTGAACAAACACATAGCTTTATTCCTCGGCAAAATGTTTACTTCTTTTTAACTAGGTTTCATTCAATTTGTTGGGGATTGGATGATGGAAAAACCAGCAAGCTACGACTTCAAAGCTTACCTTATTTAGAAAAGGTGAAAGGGATTTTTTATAGATGTTAAGGTTGTATAAGGAGGGTAGAGCTTGAAGAGCGAAGCGAGCCTAGCAACATTTTTCAGCAGCAAGCTACGGTCTAATGATCCCCTAACCTAGGTTGGGGCAAAAACTCCAAAATCCAAAATGTTGGTTAGGGTTCCAAACCTTTCTCTAATAATACGGTAAGCTTTCAAGTCGTCGCCCTTTAAAGGAGCGGGCGCAGTGAACTATAATTTTGAAAAGATTAGAAGATCTAGCCAAAGAAGGTGATAACCCTGTAGATTCATTCCCATGGTTCGATCCTTCCCAGTAAAACGCGGCATGTTCGAATTCTGATTGCTTTTACATAAGAAAGGGGGACCGCTCTCTAAGCCTAAGTATTCCTCAATGACCGATAGCGTACAAGTACCGTGAGGGAAAGGTGAAAAAATCCTATTTATGGAGTGCAATAGAGAACCTGAGATCTGATGCGAACAATCAGTAAAAGGAGCGGAGCTTAGAGCCTTTATTTTATGTAAAGTGCACTCACTCTGACGGCGTACCTTTTGCATGACGGGTCAGCGAGAAAATGGGAACAACAGCTTAAGCCATTAGGTGTAGGCGCTTTCGACGTACCTTTTGCATGATGGGTCAGTGAGGAAATGGGAACATCGACTTAAGTTATTAGGTGTAAGCGCTTTCCAAAGGTGGAATTTTCTAGTTCTTCCTATTTGACCCAAAACTGACTGATCTAACCATGAGCAGGTTGAAGAGAGCTCTAATAGTCCTTGGAGGACCAAATTCACGTATATGGAAAATAACGGGAATGACTTGTGGCTAGGGGTGAAAGGCCAACAAAGATCGAATATAGCTGGTTTTCCGTGAAATCTATTTCAGTAGAGCGTATAATGTCGATGGCCCAAGGTGGAGTACTCAATAGGCTAGGATGGCCTTATTTCGCCTTACCAACCCTAGGGAAACTCCGAATACAGGACTAGATCATTTGTATAGACAGACTTTTTGGGTGCTAAGATCCAAAGTCGAGAGAAAAATAGCACAAATCGTACGCTAAGGTCCCTAAGCAATCACTTAGTGGAAAAGAAAGTGATCGAGAAATAACATCCATAAGGTGGGCTTGGAAGTAGCCATCATTTGAAGAAAGTGTTATAGCTCACTGGTCTAGCTCCATGGCACCGAAAATATATCAGGGCTCAAGTGATTCACCGAAGCGACGAGACCTTGAAAGCTATTTTTTCAAGTGTCAATAGCGGGATAGAATCAATCGGGGAAGAGTTTTGGTGACAAGACCTAGAGATATCAGAAGTGAGAATGCTGACATGGTAATGAAAAATCCTTTGAAAAACACGATCGCCTGCCAGTGGAAGGTTTTCTGCATTCAGTCAATCTATGCATAGTGAATCGATCCCTAAGGAACCCCCAAAAGGGTTGTCGTCCGATGGGTATACGAAATTGACAAAGTTACTTTGACTACAGAACCATGCCGGTCTGTTGGAGCGAATTGGATGATCGGGCCGAGGTATGCCCCCTCTTCCCCTCACTCTCCTTTCCCTAATATAAACCTTGAAGCATCAAAACTTTCCTGACTCGGCCTGGCACAGTTGCTTTACGCGACTGACACTTCAAAAGGCGAAACTCTCGATCGTAGTTTGGCGACCTATTTCAGTAGGGGCCTTTAGTCTTTTGATTAAAGTAGGGGTCGCGAGAGAGCAGAGTGTACCGCCCTGCCATAGTCACGAATCTATTTATAGTCGCGACTATTTTTATAGTCAATAAGGTTGAAACTTCCAAGAAAAATCTTCAAATTTGGAGGGTGATCCTCCCGGTGAACTGACCGTACCCCAAGCTGACTTAGGTGAACAAGTAGAGTATACTGGGGCACTTGAGAGAACCATACCGAAGGAACTCGGTAAAATGACCTCATAACTTCGGGAGAAGGGGTTCTCTCCTATCCTTTGATTAGGAAAGCGGCACATACCATGGGGTAGCGACTATTTATTAAAAACACAAGACTTTGTTAAGTGGTAACATGATGTATAGAGTCTGACACCTGCCCCGTGCTAGAAGGTCGAAAGGAGAAGTGTTATAAGCTTTGAATGGAAGCCCTGATAAACGGCGGCAGTAACTCTAATTATCCTAAAGTAGCGAAATTCCTTATCGCATAAGTAGAAACCTGCACGTATGGTGTAACGACTGGACCGCTGTCTCTGACATGGATCCAATGAAATTGAATTCTCTGTAAAGATGCGGAGTACAAATGGCTAGACGGTAATACCCCGTATACCTTAGTTATAGCTTCACAATGACAACCTTAATCGAATGTGCGGGATAGGTGGGAGGTGGTGACACACAATGACCAATCCTGAAAGACCACTTTTTCATCTAAGGATGCCTAATCGTCTCCCGATCATTCGGGGGGAGGTGGGACACTGCGAGGTGGGTAGTTTATCTGGGACGGATGCCTCTTAAAGAGTAACGAAGGTGTGCGAAGGTAGGCTCAAGCTAAGATTCTACTCGTGAGCGTAAGGGTATAAGCCTTCCTGACTGTGAGACCGACTGGTCAAACAGAGACGAAAGTCGATCATAGTTATCCAGGAGTCCTGTGTGGAAGGGCTCTCGCTCAATAGAACAAAGGTACGCTGGCGATAACAGGCGGATGACTCCCAAGAGCTCTTATCGATGGAGTAGTTTGGCACCTCGATGTCGACTTATCACATCCTGGGGTTGAAGGTCTCAAGGGATAAGTTTTCAGTTTATCTAAAAATTTGTGTTTGTCGTTTAACCATGAAAATTTAAAATTCAACTTGAAGTTGTATTTTTAATTTGAAGAATAATTTATCACTTATTTTTCAACTCACATTTCATTTTTAAAATTGTATCTAAGTCCATTCAAAAAAACATTATTTCAGTATTCTTGGAGAAAAGTATAACCAAATACAGCCCCATCTTCAACTCCAACTTCATAAAAAAAATTTAAAAAGAAAAATTTATGGTCAAACGCCTACTTAGAAAATACTTAGGATATTTAAAAAGGGTTATAACTGGGATCTTTTGTATTGTTCTTCTTATTCACAGTAAGAAAACTCTCTTTGCTTTTGCTTCGAGGACATAGATTTAATTGAATTTCATTAATTAAATTCTTATATTATTTTATTTTTTATTTATTTTATATATGATTGTGNTGTGTACTAGTTAATCTATGAGATTGCATGAAAATATGTATAAATATTTCAGTTAAAGGTAGTGAATGTCACAACGATGGATCTGTCTATGTCTACACGTACATGAATGAATATAACTAATGAACGCGAACTCAAAATTTAAATCTAATAGGCGTTTGGACATTTAATTTTATTTGGTGATTTAAAATTATGATATGAAATTAGTGTTTGGACACGCGATTTTATCTCATAATTTAAAATCATGAGATGAAATATCAAATTCTAAAAATAAAAACCTTGATTTGGAATTTCAAATCATGAGATGTACTTTTTAAATATAAAATTTGACTCATAAATTTATATTTTTATTAAAAAACCATCATTTTATATATACCAATCATTTATTTCATGTAAACAAAATTTAATTTGTTGTTGGTATTATTACTCTTATCAACCTTTTCCCAACTATTTATATCGGATATGTAGGAGGATTATATTAAAGAGTAGTACACCACAACTCATGTTCAATTTTACTCTAAAGTAGTACACCACACTTGTATAATTTTAGAATGACTTTGTGATAATGTATTGTATTTTATTATGAACTTTTACTTATTCGGTAAGATTGTATAAGAATTAGGGAAATTTGAATAGTTTTTACAACTTATGGGGTTTTCATGAGAAAAAATACAACTTAAGAATTTCAAATTGCATGTCCAAACAAAACTTCAACTTCAACTTTTCAACTTCAACTTTATCTCATACGATTTATATCATGATTTCTTCTCGTATAGTAAAAGCCCTTAATGTATTTAATTTTATTTTTTTTAAATCCATTATATTATATTTTTTAGAATTATATTTCAGAATTTGA